GGGAGAACCTCGGGATGGGAGAACCTCGGGATGGGAGAACCTCGGGACGGGAGAACCTCGGGACGGGAGAACCTCGGGACGGGAGCCCCACACGTACTTGTTGGCCCGGATCCCTTCCCGACGGGAGGCGAGTCCTTCGGCCACCAGGGACTCAGCGATGTTCTCACCAGTCGTGTCTGTGGAGAGAGCAGAGCACTCAGGGAGAGCAGCCACTGGCACACAGGGCAGCCCAGAGGGACACAGACCTCAGTCCTGGCAGGCATTCCCAAGGTGATCCCAGGTAGGAAGTTGCTGGAGCAATCCCCAGCTGGAGCCTCACGCAGCTGCCACAGAGCTGCCAGGGAAACTGTCACAGTGTTCCCACATTTATAGCATTTAAACCCTGACAAATTTCATCAGGAAACATTTTCTGCCTCATTTCCCCCTCCTCGCCTGCCAGGCTGGGCTGGAACAGGGATGGGGAGGCCCCGGCAGCCGGAGAGGCTGCACAGGGATGAGGCAGCACCACAGAGCCAACAGCAAAACCTCTTCCCCAGCTTTTTTTTGTCCCTGACTGTCTCCAGGGCCTGCCCAGGCTGAAGGGTTGCTCTGGGGGTAAGTGGAGAGCAGCAGCTCTCCAAAATCAAAGGCTGGTCTCAGTCCTGGAGGTCTTTTCCAACCCAAATGACTGTGATTCCAATCCCTGCCTCTGCAGTGGGGATCCCCAATCCAAGGGGCTTCCCAGACCCCCGGCAAACTGGAAGCTCAGGAGTGAATCACAGAATGTCCTGAGCTGGAAAGGACCCACCAGGATCACGAGTCCTGCACAGGACACCCCAGGATCCCACCATGTCCCCGAGAGCCTTGTCCAAGCATTCCTTGAGCATGGAGATAACTTTGATATCCAGGTATTTGTGGTCTCAGGGGACCTGGCAGCTCACAGCATCCCCTTCCCCTTTCCTGCAGCCTGGGGACCAAGGGGGTCTCATGTTCCTGTGCTGGAGTGGGACCCCAGGGGGACACAGGAGATGCTGCCTGGAGTGAGCTGGATGTAGCGGCAATGGGAATCCAGCTCTGAATGCCCTCACAGCAGCCAGGTACTGGTGGAAAGGGGGTCCAAGTAGGCTATTGCCCACCCTAGCCACATCCAACTGAGCCCCAAATCCTCCAAGGAACAAGCTCCAGCCTCCCAGGGGGCTGTGAGGCCACGGGTACACCCACTGACCCTCTGCGGGGCAGATCCAGGAGCCAGCAGTGATGCCCACAGAGCTGATGGCTGGTGATCCTCATCCTGCCTGGACCCAGAGGGAGCCTCTGCCCCCATCATGGGCCACCTCCTTCCTCCCTGGGCCTCCAGGAAAACCCCACTGCTCCAGCCGTGCTGCTGCCTCAGGAAAAGCCCTGGATGTGGCCACGAGCACAGTCCAGCCAGGAGAGCCAACCTCCTGCTCCCACCGTGGGAAAGGCTCCCAAGTGCCACAGCCATGCCAGGAAAGGCCCCGAGTGCCACAGGGAGCATACCTGGAGACCAGGATGCCTCACAGCATCCACTCACCCTCTCCAGTCCATCCCTGGATGGCAGCAGAGCTCACAGGGATGTGGGGTCGAGGGCACCCGGCCCCCCCAGTCTGTCCCAGGGCTCCGGGGACACTGCCCCAAAATTCAGCAGCCCCCAAGCTCCTTCCCAGGCCTTTGCCTGCTCCTGGTCCTCCCCTCCTTCCCCATCCACAACTAGAGACCCCCTGGGCCCCCCATGGGACAGGAGCTGTGTCTGAGCCCTGCCTGTATCCCAGATATCCCACTGAGGCACACGGGTCACTTGGGGCATTTCCTGCCCCAGAAACTGGGAGGACCAGCTGGGTCCTGGTGAGCATCCGCTTCCCAGGAACCCACCCATGCCAAGATCTCATCCCCCTTCTGCAGTCCTGAGGGAATTCTGAGCAGGAGCAGAGCTGGCAGTAGGATGTGGTCACGTCCAAGCCTCTCTCCCACCAGCCCAAGCGATGGCTGAGGGGCAACCACAGGGAGTGGGAGCCCCAAAACCCATCCAGGGGAGCTGCTTCCTCTTGGGAATCTCAGGCACAGACAAGCAAGGGATTTATAACAACAAAAAGGACGGAAAAGGGAAATCTGTGGGAATTCACCCAAAGCCTGTGTGCCTGGAGCTCCGGAGAGCATGGCCATGCTCCAGTTCTGCACCAGGACCAGCACCAGGCACTGCTCCCCTCCCAGAGCTGGGCTCCATGGAAAAGTGGGAATGCATCCTTCTGCTGCCAACAGTGCATCCCAACACCTCCACTATCCCGCTCTGTCCCCCTTGAAGAAGTCACAGGTGGTTTTCCAGCTGGGTTCATGCTAAAGAACCCCCTCATCTGAGCCCAGGAAAGCTCCTGGGGCAGAGGGAGCAGGGCTGGACCTCACTCCCCTCCAAAAGCTGGGTGTCCATGGAAAAGTGACAGAAAAGCGGGAATGCATCCCTCTGCTGGCAGTGCATCCCAACCTACACCCCGGCTGCACCCCCCAGTCCTCCCCTCGCCCTCCCCCAGCCCCCCTTTCCCCAGGTACACCATCCCATACTG